GATGGGACAAGGTGGTAGAGAAGGTTTGGAAGGAGATAGGAGACGAGGAGGAGACGTTGGACACGGAAGAGTTCGGGGGGTTCAAGACGAAAGTCAAGGAGATGCTAGAGAGTAGGGAGGAGGCAACCCTTCGGAAGAAGGTACGAAGCGAAGACCACTTGGAGATATACGGGAAGTTGAAAGAAGGGATAGGGATGAAGAAGTACTTGGACGGCCCCATGGACTATGCGAAAAAGCTGAAATTGCAATTTCGAGTAGGCGATCTGGACTTGCCAGAACGGAGGAAGAGGTATACCAGCCGTAGGAGAGAGGAAGAGGAGGATAGACACACATGTCCATGTGGCAAATCGGAGGAGAGTAGACCCCACATAGTTGGGGAGTGTGAGTTGTACAGGAAGGAAAGAGAGGATCTCGAGGAGGAAATGAGACAGAGAGGGTGTGACATGGACAAGTTTGGTAAATTAGACAACAGCGAAAAAACGATCGCGATAATTGGGGATAGATGGTGGGCACAAGAGGCCCTAGAGGACGGGGATAAGATGTGCAAGACATTTTTATGGAGTTTGTGGCAGAAACGTAAAGAGCTCCCAAATGTTGGTGGTGTCTCTAGTAGGTGTAGGAACGGTGCTCCGTCTCGAAAGGGACGCGTGGTCAATGGTCAAATGACTACGGCAAGCAACAAATGAGTACGCCCCCCCCCCCCCCCCTGGGGCCCCCCCCACCCTTGCTGAACTACGAACCGGAAAAACGGCCAGGACGCGCCGGCCAGCATTCTCGAGGTGTACATTTCTTCCCCTTCCAACAGTTGTGCCGCAAGCAACGGTACTGTCACCGGCGACGGCAGCGGGAGCAGCCCCATCGAAGGTGCCGGGGACGAAGGGGACGAGGAAGCGCAACGCACACGACGCCGGCGGCAACAAGAGAGCGGGGAGGGGGAAGGGGCTGGCGGAGGTGTTCTTGTCCTACAGGCGCGGTCGAGGAGGGAGACGTTGCTCTGGGCCAAAGTGCTCCAGGTGGGTTTGTTGCTGTTGTTGTTGTTGCTGATTGGGGTTGTTATCAGGTTTTGAATATTCCGAGATTAATCACCAGCGTTCGTTATTATCTGTATCATTTTTTTGCCGTTTTGAATTGTCTGTTGTCGATTCCGTGTCGCGCGCATGTGTGCAATGCTGTTGAGTTTTCGTGTGGTCACCCCCCCCCCTCTTTCTCCAACTGCGCTCCCCCTCTTGTTCCTGCACCGGCATTCGTGTGTGAACACCGCTCGATCGCTGTGGTCGATCGCTGTGTTCTGCACAGGAGAACGTCCAGCTCATGACGAAGCACCAGGTACCGTTGGAGAACAGGGACGAGGAGACAAGTCTCAGCGATGTCCAACAGGTATGTGAGAGACCAGTAGGCCAATAGACCGTCTAGAACCCCATTTTCCCCTTCCCCTCCCGTATTTGTGAGATTGTGGCTTCCAATGCGAAGACCGTGTTCATGTAGTCGCGGAATGTCCGTGGTACAAAGAGGAGAGGGAAGTGTACATGACTGAGCTGGGAAAAATACAAGGGAGGTACAGGGAGATGTTTGAGGCATGGAATAGAGAGGAGAGGACGGTAGCTGTACTGGGAGTAGGAAGTGGTTTAAAAAGGCGGGAAGGGATATCGTTAAGATAGACAAACTAGGGAAGACGTTTTTGAGCCACCTTTGGCAAAGTAGGAAGGAACGATTGGCCATCGGTGATCGGTCCTGTGGGAACAATGCT